TGCCTTGAAAAACATTTATTTTTCTATATCATATTCCCTCACATTGCATAGTCAAAAGGGCCTAATTTCGCTTGACTTTGCATAAGAGAACACGGACTTCCTGGTCTATATTATAGTGATTAAATCTAAATTTATTAATGGTGATGACATAAACTCTTACCTGCCATTTTTTTATTTATTTTAATTTTTTTTTCAATAATTATATTCAAAGTTTTGAGGATATGGGATGTTCCCTTCTCTCGGAATTTGAAGACCAATCATTTTTTATTCAAAGTCAACACATCAAAATTCTAGGAAAAAACATGTTTTAAAATTCATCAAAAAAATCATTAACATTTTTTAACGATAATTGAATAGCAATCAAAAAATGAAAAAAAATCATATACTTCAAAACATGATCTTTATTTTCTTCATTATAAAATTCATTAATTCAAACTTTCAAAAAATGGCTTGATCGATATTTTATAAATGCATATATCAATTAATATATATATGTTTATATATATCATAAGATAACATAAAAATTATAAAATATATGAAGCGTGAAAACAGACAGATATGTGAAATCCGGAACAATGTATGTTATGTGTTCCGGCATTATGAAAATAGAAATGGTTAACGTGCGAATCTACTGTACAATTGTAGACGTTGATTATTGGAAATATAATAATGACTAATAAAAATTATATTGATTTTTGTAATATAATTGGCTCGTTAATATATTTGGTACCCACTTCAGCAATGTTGATATTTTTTAAGAAAATTTTATACATTTTTTGGTATTAAATTAATTTGTACTTGACTCAATATTATGTAAACTCGTTGGCATTGAATTTACACATTCATCATTAATTTTGAAAATTGTCTGGCTTGTAAATGATTTGAAATAAAAATTTCTTAAATTTATAATGTGCTATGCTATAAAGTAAAACTCATGAAAATCTCATGTGATAAGTATTAATTAATACTAGACAGACTGCTGAGAGTTTTGATGAATGTTTTTGGATCATTCAAATCCGATGCTCCGATTTCTCAAAAACTTGATTTCTATTTTCTGCATTCTTTGCTCCATATCTCCAAAACGGCTGAACCTGCCTTTGCCAAAAACTGATCAGCACATCTCCCTATCAATAGATCTAATGTTTTTTGAACAATTCAAATTGGTTGATCCGTGCGCCTGAAAACATCGACGAAAAATTGTTTCCATACACACACACACACACACACACATTTTTTCTGAGGTATGCCAAAATGTTCAAAAACCTTCAAAACGTGTAGAAATGTAAAAATTTTCAATTTATTTCGATTTTTGGACAATTACGATAACTTACCCTAGTTAAAAATTAGAAAGTTAGAAATTAACGACAATAACCGAAAAATGGTCATGATTTCCAAACAAAGTGGGATTTTTTTTTTCAGAACAGTTAAGGTCAATATTATCAACCCGTTTCGGCTTGACGTCAAGGTCTGGGACAGCCTATAATTATAATATAAATTATTGCAGGATTCTGTCAAGTCATACTGATTACAATTTTATAATTTTTTATATACCAACTTAATAATTTATTAGGTCAATCTGGAACTTCAGCGAATTCTGTGTTCGCCCATGCGATACACGATCTCCATGTTTCTCAGTATCCAATAACATACATTTTTTTTATTAATCTTAATTAAAACAAACAAACAAAAATTACAAACAACGATTGAATTTCAATAATCTCGGTGTAAGTTTTATTCGGGCTCGTTAACTGGAGCAGAACTTTTAAAGCCTCGTAATCATTTACTTTTGCTTTCGATGCTCCAAAAGCGCGAGTGGCGTGTTCGCTTGTTCCAAAAGAAACCGAACGTGCAAAACGCAACTCAATTTCAATAAGATTATTATAGAGAATGTATTGTATTCTATATCAGCGAATAAATATAATAGAAGACGTTTATTATTATAGTCTGCGGTTAGGAATGTAATAAAAATGCGGCTTATAGACTAGGGAAGCATGCGTTTCTAAAGGTTTGACCGATTGAGCCCGTCGAGTTGTAATGAACAGTGTTGTCTAGCATTAACTAGTCCAGGGTTCGATTCAACCTCGGCCAGTTGTATGATATCCAATTTTTGCTTGAGGTTGTATATCTCAAATATAATCTTGAGTCAAAATCCTTTTTGGTGGGCATTGCTGCAACATATACACGCTAAAACTATTATATATACCTACATATCTAAAATATATTCTACACATAAAAAGAGTGGTTGGTAAAAATGCTGCGTTGCCTTCTAGAAAAAATTACTATCTAAGATATAGCGATAGCAAGCACAGTTCAATGAACAAGTACATGGTTTAATTGTTGCTAAAAACTTATTAGATCAAAAATCTAATAAAAAATCTCATCAGAGGAAGAATGGTCAATCAATGGGTTCCATTCTAAAAAAACACCATAAACAGCCTATATATTTTTATTTACTGTGAAAATAATATTATTTTTTAGTAGTTCTATTAATATATTTCTCAGTTGTAAAACTTTTATTGGATGTGATTTGTCTTCCTTCATTATTAAAACTATCCATAGTTTTTATTTTCTGCGGATTACCAATACTAAGTTTCTTATGCAATAATCAACTTTTTCAATCAGACCTCGTATATTAAAATAAATATATATTATATTTTATAACTGTACTGATTATTTCATAAAGACATCAAATAATTTTCTTATGAATGAGGTTATTACTTATATTTTACATTTTCCTACATTGTAGCAATGATAAATGTGGAAAAAATGTAAATACTGATTTACTTCTGTCTGAAGCGGATTTATCAATAAAATGTTCTGCATATTCATTCATATGGGACACTCATAAATTATGTATTCAAATTATGTCATATCAGATATGCAGGTGTTAATATGTCTGTGACAAATTGTAAACAGGTATCGCACGCGTTGCATTAATTTTCGCAAATGTTAAATGAGATATATTTTAAAATAAACATATTATAGTATGGTAATTGATTTGTTTCTTTTAATAAATCACATGAAATATTTAGCAATATTGAAAGCAAAATGTAAATATGTAGAGTTTTGAAAGGTTGCCTAACATTAATTCTTTTCCCTAGTGATAATTTAAGTTGTATTTTGTAGTTATATATAGTAAAATTAATTCTAAATTTGAGTTAACTTAAATAACTTGATATAGCCATATAAAAAATTTATTGATTGTTAGATCAAATATTTCATAAAATTACCATTATACATGATGATTTTTTTTAACTTTGCGTAGTAATGCTTCGAAGGGTTATTTTTATTTGGAGATATATTTTCATTTATACTTTCAAATAAAACTTGATATTACTGCTGCTTTATATCATAATACACTCATTGTGGGGTTTGAACTACAAATCTTGTTGGTCGAAAGCAGAATTGAATGTAGAGTGAATATTGTTCCTTTATATTGATCTCATATTGGTTTTGAACGTCGGTTTAATATTGTTTATCGATACTGGGCGCATATCGGCCCATATTGGTTTTAATATTGGTTTCATATGGGAAAATGGTTAATGGTATAATATTACTATACCGGCCTCGGCCAGCCTGATGTCGAGCAGCAGTGACTTCAGTTTTTACTTGAAAATAGCCCTTACCAGCATTGCTGCATCCAATGGAATGTAATCAGTATTAAGTTATTCTAATAATAAATTTATCAAAACAGCAATAAAGTAATTGTTGGGTTATCTATGAAGCTTGGCGAAAACGCAAGATATAAAATCTAGTATGAAAATTCCTTAACAACCTTCAATGATATTTTACTCTAGTCTTGTCTATTTCGACCTTCGGTTAATTCAAAGCGACCACGCCTTCGTCATCTCCGTTTGTGAACTCATTTCTGTGTAAAACGGTCACAATAAATATTCCAAATGGGCACGAATGCAATAGCATAATTCCAGTGGCCACTTATGATTAGAATATAAATTATTGTTTTGAATATGTTCCCATTCCGCTCGTGTGCCTGTATCTGCATATTATTGATTACTTTATCAATTACATTCATTTATCCCACATATCTGTTAATAATAATCATTCGACGATAAAACTAAACTATTCAACTGTTTTTATCAGAGCCTATAATGTGTTGTAAATGTAGGTGATTCGAATTGATTGTTAATAAATTTATATTCACAACTGCATATCGAAAGTAATAAATCTTGGCGGTAATGCGAATTAGTATTCTGTTCTACAATAGTTAATCTGATTTTGTGGAGTAATTTGCATGTTGCTACTTATGTTACATAGTTGTAATTAAGAATACAAAACGATGTAATCGATATTATTTTAATTAATAGTTAATAAAGGAATTGTTAGTTACTTTTTCAAGCATTTAACTTGTTCATTTTATTCATATTCATATTCATATATATATATATATATATATATATATATATATATATATATATATATAAAGATCAAAATGACGCACCTGCTCATTTGTTTCCTGCGTCGGCCTATGGTACAGTAACTATGATATATTGCGCAAGCTCCCTTATACGTTTAATAAAAATATTTCAATACTTTCATTCAAAATGTTTTTTTTTGTTTTTCTTGACCGTTTTGTAGCATTTAGTTACATACATTATATTTATTTTATATTCTTTTTCTATTCAATATTTTACATTATTTTTATTGTTACGAATTCTTTTTTCCTCTAAATCCATCTTTTTCTTTCTTCTATTTAGTTCTGATTCTGTCAAAGTTTTACATTATACTGAAGTTCTATACTTCTTCCATATTTACAAAATTTCATATACTACTCCGTAGAATTAGTTTGATTTACTGGCCGCGCCCCATAGTTGGAGATCGTAGGACCATATTGGTTTAATAATTGTCTTGTATATTAAGAGTTTATTTTCAATTGAGACTTGTGATTTCCATCCCATTAACCAATTAAGTTGCCTACGTGTTAGTTGGCATCTGTATCTAAAAATTGCCATCAATTAATGGTTTCATAATTTTTCTTCCAGATCATCATGCGAACCTCTGCCAGGTGCCACTTCGTGCCACTGGCATGCGTTCTTAGTTTGGTGGCAGCAACTGCAGCTAGTGCAGTGTCATATAACATTCACGTGAATCATGGTTCTGGTAAACATGCTGCCAGGCCACGTTCAGTAAACCCTCTTTCATCTAAGCATGCTTATTTGAATTATTTCCGTGGACCACAAGTTACTTATCTGCACGAGCCTCAAGACCCATTCGGGTAAGTCTAGACTATATATAATAACAATACTATATAAACAATGGTATACTTTACTAACATCTACACTTATTCCATATAAAACATCATCGCTTATAATGTCCAAATCGAATGCCAACCCAGAATATTTTTGGCACACGTCGATATAATGGAACAAAAAAATTGTAGATTGTAATTATTTTTGCTGCAAATATTTTTTTAATAAATAATGTTTAGTATTTCCAAATACCATAATGAGCTAGATCTTTAAGTTTCAAAGCATTAGTTAGTATTTTATTACTCCTTTTGTAGTAGGTACTCCTTCGATCTTTGCATATGATACATTTTACAGATCTCCATTATATATATATACATATATATTTGTTTATGTTTATCTGTTCCCATACCGCTATGATCCATAATCAATACTTTCAATCATCTTAATAGCCTAAGGCAAATTTATTAAACATCTAAATAGACTAAACATGCCGATCAATTTCAAATCGTTCCAATTAACTTTTTTAGTAAAGATTAATATTGATACATTACTATCAAACATGTAGTCAGAATTAACAAATTGCAAAAACGTAATTATTTTACTTGCTGTTTTTTTATTTTCAAAAAGTTTTTCAAGTAAAAAATCAAGTAACAATATTGCATGCAGTATTTTTGTTACTGTATAATTAGTTAACTAAATATATGTTTAAAGTAACTTTAGGACAAAACTATTGATTCCTTATAATCCTCTTTCTTCAATACTTTTCGATTGTCACAAATATAATCATATTCTAAAAAACAGGACTCATCAATGTGAGCTTGATATAGTTTAGTAGTGATTCAAGAGTATTACATTTCTATTATTTAATTAGTGATTTTTTTACACCATGAACACGATTAAATTAATAATTACGCGAAAGGCGATTAATTCGGGCATGGTAAGTTGCTCACACACAGTTTATGTAACATACTTACTGGAAAATGTAAAATTAAAATACACATGTCTTCATAAATTAACAAGTATATTCATTTATGCGTTAACAAGATTTTTTATGTATACATATAATAGTGAAATAACTAACTATATAAATCATTTACGCTATCTTGATTACCTCGCTAAATTTCTCCTAATTCAAAAGCGTCCATTGAGGGCAAACTCCCAAGTATAATAATAAACATACATAGATTTTTTTATCGTTTCCACTATCATAATAATCGTTTTTATAGATAATTATCTACTTGTAATGATACAGTTATGACTAACGAATGCGGATATGCGTTGTCGAAAAAAAAATTACATGTCATTTACACAAAGTAAACGAAAGTGACCAAACAGATCAAGTGTAGAGAATTTTTGAATAAATAATTCTTTGAGATAAGATTATGTACCGGTTTATTTTTTTGGTGAATGTTTTAAATAAATATACGCAGATTTTTGTAATTTTGACAAATTAATTTTGACTTTCTTTATCATGCATTCACTTGAATTAATTCGTGACATGGACATACTTAATATCTTTCAACTTGTGGGATGAATATCGTAAGCCGGTCCATGCTTGTTAAAGAAACAGGTTTTAAATTATACAAATAGATAACAAATGAAGTACTTCAGAGAAATTAAGTGAATATTAATGATTAAAATAAATTATTACGATAGTAAATTAAATAGCAATTTTAAGAAAATGATTAAACTTAAATATTGTCGTATTATTTTCGTTAAAAACATCTTATATTTAACTAATTTTAAGAACGGTCTTTTATCATGAATGAATATTTTTTTTGGATTGTTTTATAAAATGACTAAAATATTAATTTTAGTTGTCAGTTGCACTAAGAAAAGTAGCATGAACTTTGTATTTATGTTTCGTAGTTATAAAATTTATGTAAACTCTCCTTCGATAATTCAGGTTGTTGGGTTATAATTTAACCCTTGTAGCTGTAGACTGTATTAAACACTGATTTGTTTGTATATTATGTATTTGTTGCAGTTCTAATTACAATCACTGATCTGTTACTAAGTTATAATGAAAGGAGATATATTCATTGGTTATTTATTATACATGTTGTTTCGCGGACTTCTCTTTTAGAAGTGAACAACTAGTTTAATTAAAGCACTCCGCTATCAACAATGGTAGCAACCATTCCGTGTAAAGCATAATGCCCTGAAGGTTGTCACCTTCATGGCCAATATAATAAATCAAAAATACGTCCGAACAAACTTATAAGAAATTAGATTAGCAATTTATATCAAATTTTCAATCATTTGATTCAAAAATAGTTTTTTTCTTTCACCAAAAACTCAAACAGACTTCAAATAATATCTACAATTGTGTTAATTAAACCATTTTTCATAGGCCTCTATTTTAAGATATTTTTTAAACCATCTTGACATCTGACCTATGAGCTTTAATTCCATGCAAAGTTTTAGTAAAATCGTATTTAATTGACAAAAAAACAGTCTGGTTGATCTTTACCACAAGAGGCGTCCATTAATCACGTGAGCTTTTAATGATTTTTGAACCCCCCCTCCCCCTTGGTGATCCATGGTGATACTCAGAATTACCCCCTACCCCGCCAAACTTCACGTGTATTTTTAGTTACGTAAAAAACTGTACAATTTTTGAATTTTTCTTGAAAATGTTTGAACTTTTTTTAAAAAAAATAGTTAAAAAATAAATTCACGTGATATCTTACTATACCCCTCCCTCTCCCACGTGATATTTCGTGATTTTTGTTCAAACCCCCAATCCTCCTAAAAACCTCACGTGATTAATAGACGCCCCCCCCCCCAAACTAATCAGCAAGTTTACAAATTCAATATTTTCATCAATTTTTGGATTTTCAACATCGGTTCAGGATTGTTTGTGCAAACGTAGATGCGATGTTTTGCACTTTTCTGCTAATTTTGAAGAAACGGCTCACCTGATCGTTTTGCAAAATTAGTCAACGCGTGTCTTCAAGTTTTTTCAAATGTTTTTTAATAGTTTTTTGAAATCAGTGTAGTCGTTTTTGAGAGAATGTCATCGAAACAGCAAATTTTGACATACACATGCATACACATACACATACTTTTCCAACTTTTGTGTCAAACGATTCAAAATGACATGAAGTGTAGAGAAAGCGCAATAGTAAATTGGATTTTTTTGTTCAAACAAACTTTTCTTGGAGGTGTCGAAAAATAAGGAAATAGAAACATTTTATACAAAGGGCTCTTTCGTGGATCAGTGGTTAAAGCTATGGGAGTTCAATCAGAAGTTAAACACCCGAATCCGACAGCCTAATGTCAAGCAGAAGTGACATCAGTCTTTGCTTCAAAATATAAATAATTGAAAATAGCCCTTTCTCGATGTTGCTACATCAAATTATGAAAATCATCACAAAAGCTTATAGGACCTTCAAGTTCTGATTACAGATCAAAAAAAAAGTTTTTTGAACATACGAAAGGATCATATTTCAATAAGCAGATAAGTTTCCTTACAAACCAATCTGTATTCTCTTTTACTAACCATTTAGATCAGAAATTTCACTTGCTCTGTTATATCTATTACCTCGGGTCAACTTGCGCTGTTTTTAAACAACACCTCCGGGCCATGTATTAAAATCGTGTCGTCGATTTTTTAACCATTTTCTCCGTGCTGATAAATATTAATAAGAGCGGTTCGGTATCCTTTTATGAGATCACGAAATAATCGTGAGATTTAGAAACAGAAATTGCCCACGGCGGTGCCGTTTACTCGCGCGGGTCTCTCTGAATGACTTAGTGACTTGTTATTGTTTGACGCCGGCGGCAAAAACTGGAGAAATATACACGTTAAATAGATGTCAAAAAGTTGGAGAGATTGATGTACACCCTAGCCGATAGTTGCAAGCGTGATAATATTTAAATTTCATAACTTTGAGTGTTTTGTCCTGCCTTTCGGCGTCAATTGCTGAAGCTGTGTAATTTTTTAAATCGAACAGCATAGTTTAACACTTTCGACTCGGGAGTCGGACTGCCAGTCGGTACGCTGCGCTCGGAATATTATAGTGCAATACTTATCTCTCAACTCGGAATTTTTTTTTGTATCGGATTTTTTTCAAAATGTGGTTATATTGCTTTTAAATATAGTTATTATGATAATAAAATAGAAAATTTTGAGAATTAAAAAAAAATTGCACTCTATTGTTTAAAAAATCATCTTCACAGATCTTTATTAGAATTATGGGGATCATGAGCTAATAAATTAATTTTGTTATATATTTATTTATAAAATTAATAAATCAATCAATAAATGAATGTAATAGTAAATTAATTTTTAAAAAATAAAAAAAAATTAAATGTAAGTTTAGTTTGCGACGAGTCGTCGCCGACACGATTTGCCGCCGGAGCGGCGGCATCCGAGCTTAACGGTAAAACATATCATGCCGCCGGAGAGGCGGCATCCGAGCGCAACGGTAAAATGACTATGCCGCCGGAGCGGCGGCATCCGAGTCGAAAGTGTTAATTTTTTTTTGGTTCATTGATATATTAGTTTTGCTATTCCCAGGTAATTAATTAAAACTGAAGCTATGGGATTTACCTGGGTTAACAATTATCATAATTATCATAATCACAAAATCAAAAAATAAGCGATAGGAGTATAAAAGCTCTTGGTACTTCTATACATCATATAAGTTTAAGTTATAAATATAGCTAAAAGTAATATGCAAAATAAGTGACTTTTTATAAATTCGATACTATAAATACGTGTATATATTAGAAATGGATAACTCACTCCGGAGTTATCACTCCGATACAACTCCTTCCTCTGAGTGAATCCGAGTGGAGTTGTCTCACAGGATTTGTCATATCATTCCCTAAACTGGTACTAAATTTGTTAACATGTGCAGATATTTGCTTGAGATTTTGTACTAATACAAAGATTTGGGTCGAAATAAGTGGTCTTTTTCTCGTCTCACAGCCACTTTTAGGACTTTTCAGGTATATAATGTCTCAAAATCATGCTATTTTGTATTCTATGTTCTGTATACAATAATGCTTGTCCATA